CACACACACACACACACACACACACACACACACACACACACAACCCCACACACCCTGGAAGCTGTGTGACAAATGGGTCTGTCCTCTGCCCTGAATACAGCATGCATTTCACAGCCAGCTTACAAACAGCTTCCTGGAGGGGAGAGAAGCCAGGATCCAGATCCCCTCCACATTCAGAGCCTGAAGACTTCAGAGACTGGGCAACCCCAGCCCCTACCTCCTGGGTGGGCCCTCCTTGTATCCAATCATTGTGCCAAGTAAAGTGCAGAGGCAACTGACTGTACATAATAAACGGGCTTACCAGAGCCCTTTAAAATCATCCATTCTAAGCCGGGCACTGGTGGCTCACGCCTGTAATCCTAGCTACGCCAGGAGGCTGAGATCTGAGGATCACAGTTCAAAGCCAGCAGGGGCAGGAAAGTCTGTAAGATTCTTATCTCCAATTAACCTCCAGAAAACTGGAAGTGGTGCTGTGGCTCAAGTGGTAGAGCACTTGCCTTGAGCTGAAGAGCTCAGGGACAGCGCCCAGGCCCAGAGTTCAAGCCCCAGGACTGACAAAAAAAAAAAAATCACCAGTCCCAGGGGTCAACAGTGGCTCACACTTACAATTATAGCTACTCAGAAGGCTAAGATTTGAGGATGATGGTTCAAAGCCAGCCTGGGCAAGAAAGTCCCTAAGACTCTTATCTCCAATTAACTACCAAAACACTCTGGAAGTGGAGGTGAGGCTCAAGTGGAAGAGGCCCTTGAGAAAAAAAAGCCCAGGGACAGCACCTAGGCCCTGAGTTCAAGACCCCAGACAGGCATAAAAGCAAAATAAAATAAAACAAAAACACATCAGTTCCAGAAGAAAGCTAAATGCTTCTAAACTGTTTTTTCTCCACTTCTATAATACACATTTTCTCAAGTGGGCCCTGTTTGCAATGCTCTTTCCTGATATATGTCAATTTCAGAGCCAATTACAGAACAGGTAGATCTCGGAAGCCACATGCTGCCCTCTGCCCTTCTAAAAACTGTAAATATGACATTTCAAAATGTACAGCAGCTATGGAGCAAAGATGGTGGTTGAAAGACGAGGGTCAGATTGGAGGGGGACACTGCCTCCCTGTCTCAGCCACTTTGTAGATGAGAAACTTCCAGAGCTATACACACCAGAACGGAGTTAAGTATAGTGCCCACTGGGGCCACAGGCATCGTAAGCTTCCTCAGCCTTTTAACAGCAACTTCATTTCTTTCACAATCTACATTCCCAGGAGGCCGGACAGAATCTGGGGTCAGAATCTACACTCACAGACATGAAAGTCACACTGCTCCAGGGAGGGACTCACCCCTACACTGGCTGCCTTCCGGCATTAGTTAGGAAATTTCCCTCCAGCTGTGAGATTCACATGTGCATTCTTACTTATAGCTCTGTGGTGACAGAAGTTTTGAATCTTGATAATGGTGGTGGCAGCTACACAAATTTAAACATGGGATCAAGTTGCAAAGAATATCCAACAGCCAAATGGCAGTGACTGTTACTCAGCTTTATGAAGGTGGAGGAGCCTGATACATGCCAAACACCGCGCTCAGTGAAATGAGTACCCTCTGGTACTTTTTCCGCTTCCATCAGACATGGGAAGACATAGGTCTCAGGGTGTGCTCCTGAGGTCCTGAGAGTAGCACTCTGAGACAGCAGCATGTAATAGGGATGGAGCTCCAGTTGGAGAAGATGAAAGAGCTCTAGAGCTGCCTCACAGCAGGGTAGAGGTGTGGAGGGCCTCTGGACTGTACTTGCCAGTGGTTAAGATGGCATTCTTTGGAAATGTACATTTCCTCACAAAAAACATGAACCTGTGTGCATGTAAGCTGGTGAGATTGGAGTCTGCCAGGTACAATGAGAACATACGAACTTTCTGATCTCTATTCCCCAAGAAATAAAAATCAAGTAAAAATATAAATGAAAATGCAAAGGCTATGCAATGAAATGAATAAAATCCCAATAAAATCAAACAAACCCACAAAACAAAACCCGAAGAGATCTAGGTGGTCTCTCTCAGGGAGCTGGGAGGAACAGATTATAGGTCTGCAATCAATGCCGCACACCCTCAGCTGCCTCTTCTCAGAGGAGCCAGGGGAGGGAGGGTGTGTCGTGCTAATGTGTTAAGGTGACCTCTGGCACAGGCTCTGCTCTCCTAGCTGGTTGCTTATACTTCTTCTGCCAATGGTTATAGCATCTCCTTAATTCTCACAGCACCAGGGGCTCCAGGAGGCTGAGGTAATCGGTAGGGAGGCCCCATCCTGGCTCAGGCTCCACACATCTCCAGAGCCAGACACACCTCAGCAGGGGGAAATTCTGAAGCCCCAACCTGTGTCCACCCTGATGAGGAGGGGCTTAAGGGAATGAGGTAGGCAGGCCTAACAGCCTACTGCCTAAAAGTGCCTGGACATAAGGCATGGAGCTCCATCAGGGGCCCAGCTGTGGAAGAGCTTTTCTGATCTCAGGTCCTGTGCTCCTGGGGTGCCTGTTGTGAGGAGCATGCCCCAGATGTGATTAACACACAGCAGCTATTCCCCCCACCCCATCAGGTACACCTTGCTCCTTCCTATGCATACCTCTTCCCAGCCTGCTCTACTCTAGACCTCACTGCTGTGCTCACTCACCTCTCTACTCCAGAACTCACTGCTGTGTTCACCTCTCTAATGCCCAGCTCACTGCTGGGCTCACACATCTAACAGTCATTACCTCAATGCCCTTCCCTATCTTTTAGCTGCTTCCATGTGCTTGAAAAAGTATAGCAATAACCAAAAGAATGGACTATAATTGTAATTTGGGCAAGAGAAAGTAAGCACGTTTGCTAGGCCTCCTTCCCTGCTGAGGCCCCAGGACACCGTGATTGTGCCCTGTCCAGGACCAGACCTGCCTGGTGCCCGAGCCTCACCTGCACCTCTGAGTCCGCATCTACGTGCTGCAGCTGGAACCACGTGTCCCTGTTGTGGTACTTCTGCAGGTCCTCTTTCTGGATGGCCACCTTCCCTGAGACAAAGGCAAAGCAGGTACACGCATCATGGAGACAGACCCAGGTTCACAGACAGGTTCACAGACCCAGCAGACACCACTCATCGAGGTAAAGATGTCATGCTCCACACTCCAGGGCTGACTGAGGTCAGGACCAGGCTGCCTGCACAGGAGGGGCTGCCTAGCATGGTGGATGCATACAAGACCCCACGTTCACAAACATGCCCTTTCCTGCCTCACAGGTTATCTGAGGCTGCTGTGGAGGTCAAACGGAAGGGGTCAGCCTTGTCTTCTGAAGCCAGAGACTCAGGATCTGAGTGGCACAGCAGTCAACTCCTCTTTGCTGCTCTCTCCTCTCCACAAACTATAACAGATGGTGTCAGAACTCACTTTGTAGATTCAGGGGCTTTGGTGACATGTGAATTTAGCTAGGAAATTTAGTAAGGAGCACATGTTCAGCTTCAGTTCACATGATACATGTGTCTGTGCGGGTGCAGTGGTTTTAAAAGCTCATGTGGGCATCCAGTTTATTCAGAGACAGGCAGTGAAGGTCAGCTGGAGTAAACTACCTTCTCACCATGGTTGTGTTTGGATCCATGCCTCACCAAGTGCTTGGCCCAAGGGTTCTTGGGATAGTAGGCCAGTGTGCTCACTATGCAAGGAAAGACAGCAGCAAGGGCTGATGTCCACTGATGGGAACATGTGCTGTGGCCTCGAATAGACCAGCTGCACACCCAGGATGTGGGCGGGCACACCTGAATATGAACACATATCACAGGATTTCTTTTTTTTTTAATTTAAATTTAAAATTTTATTTTTTGTGAACATACTGTACAGAGGGGTTACAATTACATGGGCACGATAATGAGTACATTTCTTATCAAGCATTGCAGCCTCCTCCTTTGTTTACCCTTCATATCCCTTCCCAGCCCCCTCCCCACTCAATCCTTCCCCCCCCCACCAAAGTTGTAAAGTTCGTTTTTGACAAGACAACTTGTACTTCTCCTTAAACGACTTGTTTTTCCCCATCTCCTCCACAAATTATACCGACATCAAATATAGTGAAAGCAGGGGTTATACTGTGGGGGAGGGACATACAAAGCAACAAAGAAATAATCTTATAAATGCGTTAGAAACACATGCATGAAAGAAAAAACATTAAAATACATATCTAAGGGTTCATTTT